GCTTCAGATTTCTACAGTCATGCGTCTGTTTATAGTGTCCACTCGGGGGGGGAACCAGGGGAAAAGGAAGGGCTTTCTCTCTGTCTCTCTCTCTCGCACTGCCTGTCAAAAAAAAACCAGCAGCAACGGCAAGTGAGCCAGCAGATGAAAGCTCACTCTCTCTATTCATCTCTGTGTGTGTGTGTGTGTGTGTGTGTTTAAAAGCTCTTTAAATTAAATCTCAGGTAGGGTGAGAAGGAGGGAAAAAGGGAATATCATTATATTCTTAGACTTGTATATACAAACCATATTGAATCTGTTAAAAACTAATTAAAACAAAACATAATTAAATCTCAAGATCAGTTCCCTCTTTGATACTATTAGGAGTTCAGCAGACCTGCTCTCAGTAAACACAGTAAAAAAAAATTTTTTTTTAAGATTCATCTATTTGAAAGTCAGAGGGAGAGAGGGAGAGAGAGGTGGAGAGAGGTGGAGAGAGGGAGAGAGGGGAAAAGAGGGAGAGAGACAAAGAAATTGTCCATCTACTGGTTCATTTCCCAAATGGCCTGGCCTGGCCTAGCCATAGCGGAAGTCAGGAGCTTCATCTGGGTCTCCCACATGGGTGCAGGAACCCAAGCACTTGGGCCATCTTCTACGGCTTTCCTAGGCACATTAACAGGGAGCTGGATCAGAAGCAGAGCATCTGGGACTCCAACTGCTACCCATATAGGATGCCAACACTGTAAAAGGCAGCTTAATCTACTGCACCACAGCACCAGCCTCAAAAATTATTTTTAAAACAACCACATAGGCCGGCGCCGCAGCTCAATAGGCTAATTCTCCGCCTTGCGGTGCCGGCACACCGGGTTCTAGTCCTGGTCGGGGTGCCGGATTCTGTCCCAGTTGCCCCTCTTCCAGGCCAGCTCTCTGTTATGGCCAGGGAGTGCAGTGGAGGATGACCCAAGTCTTTGGGCCCTGCACCCCACAGGAGACCAGGAGAAGCACCTGGCTCCTGCCATCGGATCAGCGCGATGCGCAGGCCGCAGCGCGCCAGCCGCGGCGGCCATTGGAGGGTGAACCAATGGCAAAGGAAGACCTTTCTGTCTGTCTCTCTCTCTCTCTCTCTCACTGTCCACTCTGCCTGTCAAAAAATAAAAATAAAATTAAAATTAAAATTAAAAAAAAAAAAAAAACCACATAAAAATCCTGGATGTCTGGATTTGTGTCCTGGCTTCACTTCCAATTCTAGGTACTTGCTTACAGGCACTCTGGGAAACACCAGAGTGCTCAAGCACTTGGGTTCCTAATACTCATATGGGAGATTCAGACTGAGTTCTAAGCTCCCAGCTTCAGCCTGGCCCAGCCCCAGCTTTTTATGTGCATTTGTAAAGTGAACCAGCATATGGACTGGTAAAAAGAAGGAGACTGAGCTTTTTCATTCTGCCTACAGCTACTTGTTGCTGATGCTAAGGTCCATGTATGAATGGCCAAGAAATGGAGTGGGAGTTCCTTTGCCAGCCTAGATCTCAATGTGGAAGAGAGGTTCTGCTTTGGTTCAACATGCTGAAAATACCAAGGTCCAGATACCCCTTGCCCTAGCTTATCCATAAAATGGAGGTCCCAGGGGCTCGCACTATAGCACAGAGTGATATGCCGCTGCTTGTGATGTCAGCATCCCCTATTAGAGCGATGTTTCAAGTCTGGTTTGCTCCACTTCCAAACCAGCTTCCTGCTAATGCACCTGGGTATGCAGAGGATGATGGTCCAAGAGCTTGGAATTCTGTCACCCACAGGGGAAACCTAGATGGAGTTCTAGGCTCCTGGCTTCAGCCTGGATTGGTCCTAGCTGTTGGAGCCACTTGGGAAGTAAACCAGCAGATGGAAGATCTTTCTCTCTGCTTCCCCACTCCCTGTCCCTCTGCCTTTCAAATAAATACTTCTTCTTTTTTTAAGAAGAAAGCTTTTTTAAAAAAAGATTTACTCATTTGAAAGGCAGAGGTACAGAGTGACAAAGGCAGAGAGAGAGGTCTTCCATTCACTGCTTCACTCCCTAGATGGCTACAACAATCAGAGCTGTACCAACCCAAAGCCAGGAGCCAGGAGCTTTTCTGGGTCTTCCGTTCAGGTGCAGGGGCCCAACAACTTGGGCCATCTGCCATTACTTTCCCAGGACATAGTAGACAGCTGGATTGGAAGTAGAGCAGCCAGGACTTGAACCGGTGCCCATATGGGATGCCGGCACTGCAGGCAGCAGCTTTACCCAATACACCACAGCACCAGCCCCCAAATAAATAAATAAATCTTAAGAAAAAAAAAAAGGACCGGCCCTGTGGCGTAGCAGGCTAAGCCTCTACCTGTGGTACCAGCATACTATATGGATGCTGGTTCCTGTCCAGCTGCTCCTTTCCCGACCCAGCTGCTGCTTACGGCCTGGGAAAGCAGTAGAAGATGGCCCAAGTGCTTGGGCCCCTGCACCCACATGGGAGACCTGGAAGAAACTCCTGGCTTTGGATGGGCTCAACTCCAGCTGTTGCAGCCATTTGGGGAATGAACCAGCAGATGGAAGACCTCTTTGTCTACCTATCTGTAACTCTACTTCTCAAATAAATATCTTTTTTAAAAATTTAAAACCCTCTATCTCTAACTCTACCTCTCAAATATCTTCTAAAAAATTTTAAAAAAAGAAAAAAGGTACAAATCACTTTCAAGTACATAAAATGAAAGAAAAAAAACATATTAGCATTGGGAAAAACTGAGTAAAGGGTATTGGGAATTCCTGCATCCTTCACAACTATATAAAATTATATATAATTATATAATTATACAATTATATAAAAGAAAAATAAAATGTACCAAGAAGAAAATAAATGCATACAGTTCTTTCACAGGAAGAACACAGAGGGAAAAGTGGAGGAAAAGGAGAAGATATGAAATTCTTCAACAAAATGTGCTATACTTTTTATAATAACTACTATCCAAACAAATTATATGTCTATAATCTCATCTACTAAAGAAAGTAATTAACCTTAATTTCCAAGACCTTACATTTATGATTCTCTAACTGCTCAAAATAGATCAAGATTAACTGTGTCACTATTTCTATGAAGTATAAAAAATAGTTTGAATTCAGATATTATTGCAGATGCATGTTTATAGACAGAAAGCAAACACTTTCTATTAGAAAAAGTGTTAAAAAGTCAATTGAATGAAAGGTTGTGAAGGAAGTTTTACATAAAACCCAACTACTCTCAGAAAGAACAGTGAAATAAAGTCATAACAGTGAAAGAAATTAATTCAGATAGAACTGTGTATTTAAACTTCAACAAGTTTGATTTACTTTATAGACTAGTTCTAGAGAACCAGCACTGTGTGACATAGCAGGTAGAGCCAGTGCCTGGAGTGCCGGCATCCCAAATGAGCGCCGGTTAAAGTCCCAACTGTTACATTTCCAATCCAGCTCTCTGCTAAAGCCTGGGAAAGCAGTGGAAGATGGCTCAAGTCCTTGGCCCCTGCACCCATGTGGAAGACCTGGAGGAAGCTCCTGGCTCCTGGCTTTGGATCGGCACAGCTCTGGCCATTGCGGCCATTTGAGGAGTGAACTGGCGGATGGAGGACCACTCTCTCTCTATGCCTCTCTCTCCCTCTCTGTGTAACTCTTTCAGGTAAATAAATAAATCTTTTAAAAAAATAGATTAGTTATCTTAAAGAATAAACTGCAAATTTTCCATGTTGATTCAAATTAAACAGTTCTATTTTATGCACCGAAATCTCACTATAATAATGGCTTTTTTTTTTTTTTTTAAAGATTTACTTATTTGAAAGACAGAGTTACAGAGAGAGGTAGAAACAAAGAGAGGTCTTCCATCTGCTGGTTCACTCTGCAAATGGCCACAACTGCCAGAGCTAGACCAATTCAAAGCCAGGGGCTCCTTTTGGGTCTTCCACATGGTTAAAGGGGCCCCAAGCACTTGGGCCATCCTCTGCTGCTTTCCCAAGCACATTAGCAGGGTGCTGGATCGAGGTAGAGCACCTGGGACTTGAAATGGCACCCATGTGGGATGCTAGCACTACAGGCCAGGGCTTTAACCACAGCACCAGCCCCAAATAATGACTTCACATTTTAATTAGTTAACCCATTTTAGATGATTGGCTACACATGCTTAAACAAGACTATTAAACGGAAATAGTCTACTTTGATGACTAGTTTGAGACCTGGCTCAACCGTTTCCAATCCAGCTCCCTGTGGAGCTAAGGTGCCTGGGAAAGCAGCAGAAGATGGCCCAAGTCCTTGGGCCTCTATATAATCCATCTGGGAGACCTGGATGGCGTTCCAGACTCCTGGCTTTGGTCTGACCCAGTTTCAGCCACTGCAGCCATTTGGGGAATCAAACAGTGGACAGAAGATCTCGATCACAATCTGTCTCTCCCTCTCTGTGTAACTCTAACTTTAAAACAAAACAAACAAACAAACAAAAAAAAAAAACAGAATTCTAGAGACCTCAAAAAAGTGGGCTAAAACTGCAGTTCCTTCAGAAACAAAAATACTTTATACCCACCAGCTATAAATACTCAAGTACAATCAAGCAGACCACTATCTAGCCAATTTCAGGACTATCAGGTTTCAGGATTACCTAAAGTGATCACAAGAAATCTGCCCACAGCTAACAAAGCTCATTATCCTCCCTAATCCTCCTTGGTCCCCATTTTCTTTAAAAAGTTCTCCTGCTGGGGTCCACAATATGGCATAGCTGCCCCCTAGCAACACCCACTTTTTTTGTTAAAAGATTTATTTATTTATTTGAAAGACAGAGTTACAGAGAGAGGTAGAGACAGAGAGAGAGGTCTTCCATCCGCTGGTTTACTCCCCAGATGGCTGCAACAGCCGGAGTGGAGCTGTGCCAAACCGAAGCCAGGAGCCAGGAGCCTCTTCCAGGTCTCCCACGTGGGTGCAGGGGCCTAAGGACATGGGCCATCTTCTACAGCCTTCCCAGGCCATAGCAGAGAGCTGGATCGGAAGAGGAGCAGCTGGGACTAGAACCTGCGCCCATATCAGATGCCGGTGCTTCAGGCCGGGGCTTTAACCCGCTGTACCACAGCACCGGCCCCAACACCCGCTTCTAATACAGCTCCCTGCTAATGTGTCTGAGAAAGCAGTGGAAGATGGTCCAAGCATTTGGGCCCCTGCATCCACGTGGGAGATGCAGAAGCAGCTCCCGGTTTTGGCCTTGCCATTGAAGCCATTTAGGAAGTGAACCAGTGGATGGAAGATCTCTCTGTCTCTCCCTTTCTCTCTGTTAACTCTGCCTTTCAAATAAATAAATTAATTTTTTAAAAGTCCTGCTAATAACCTAAAAACCAGAATTGTCTTTGTGACTAAAAGTCACCTCCCCTTGAAGTTGCTAGCCTCTTGAATGAACCTGATTTCCTTGCATCAACTCTTGTCTCTCAAATATTGGCTTTCAAGTAGAAAGTGGCCAAAACCTTTGCTTTTCTTGTAACATTCCTACAAGGTAGTAATTACACTGTAGTAATTTTAGAGTGGAGAAAACTGGCATACCTCAACCAAGTCATTAAAATTAATCACCACCAATGGGACAGATGGAATTTATGTGCTTCCCTTACCCTAATGATTCACTAAAAAGTTACATCGTAACTTCTGTCGTAATCCTAACAAAAGTGCATAACCTCAGTGCATAAGGAAACATTAGGCTAATCCAAATTGAGGAACTTTCTACCAAATAACTACTCCGTATTTCTTAAAAGCATGTCACAAAAAACACATCAAAACAAAAAATTACCCAGATTAACACTGATCAAATTGAATTAACAAATTCAACATGTGATAAATTCAACATGTGTGGCCCAAATAAGGACATTACTGGAAAAACATTTACAAGTTTATAGTACTACATCAATGCTAATTTTCTGATTTTTGATAACTGTACTGCATTTATGTAAGAAACATTTTTAAGAAGACAATGAAAAGTGTATTTATTTAACTTTGGATGTCTCAGAAAAAAGTGATGTACAGAAAAGAGAAATGTAATAAAGCAAAAATATTAACATTTGCAAATAAATTTATATGGAGAACATGGAAATTCTTAGTAATATTTTTGCAACTTTTATTAAGTATGAAATAATTGCAAAATTAAAATTTTTAAACAAGGGGGCCAGCGCTGTGGCATAGTAGGTAAAGCCACTGCCTGCTGTGCCAGCATCCCATATGTGGGCCAGTTTGAGTCCTGGCTGTTCCACTTCCAATCCAGCTCCCTGCTAATGTACCTGGGAAAACAAGAGAAGATGGCCCAAGTCTTTGGGCCGCTGCACCCATGTGGGAGGCCCAGAGGAAGCTCCTGGATCCTAGCTTCGGAAAGGCCCAGCTCCAGCTGTTGCAGTCATTTGGGGAGTGAACCAGTGGATGGAAGATTTGTCTGTCTCTCCTCTCTTTCTGTAACTCGTCTTCCAAATAAATCTTTAATTTTTTAGAAAACTTATTTATTCATTTGAAAGAGTTACAAAGAGAGAGAAGGAGAGGCAGAGGGAAAGGTCTTCCATCTGCTGGTTCACTCCCCAATCGGCTGCAATGGTCGGAGCTGTGCCGTTCTGAAGCCAGGAGCCAGGAGCTTCCTCTGGGTCTCCCATGCAGGTGCATGGGCCCAAGGACATGGGCAATATTTTCTACTGCTTTCCCAGGCCATAGCAGAGAGCTGGATTGGAAGTGGAGCAGCCAGGACCTGAACCAGTGCTCATATGGGATGCTGGCATAGCAGGTGGCAGCTTTACCCAGCCCCTAATTTTTTTTTTTTTTTAAAGAGATAGTACATAGCCGGTGCCACGGCTCAATAGGCTAATCCTCCGCCTAGCGGCACCGGCACACCAGGTTCTAGTCCCGATCGGGGCGCCGGATTCTGTCCCGGTTGCCCCTCTTCCAGGCCAGCTCTCTGCTATGGCCCGGGAGTGCAGTGGAGGATGGCCCAAGTCCTTGGGCCCTGCACCCTATGGGAGACCAGGAGAAGCACCTGGCTCCTGCCTTCGGATCAGCGTGGTGCACCGGCCACAGCGCACCAGCCACAGCGGCCTTTGGAAGGTGAACCAACGACAAAGGAAGACCTTTCTCTCTGTCTCTCTCTCTCTCACTGTCCACTCTGCCTGTCAAAAAAATAAATAAATAAATAAAATAAAATAAAATAAAATAAAATAAATAAATAAATAAATAAAAGAGATAGTACAGTGGGTCAAGCCACTGCTTAGGCTGCTCTTATGCCTATATCAGAGTACTGGTTCAAGACCCAGTTACTCTCTGGCTCCAAACTAGTTTGCTGCTAATGCACCTGGGAGGCAGTAGATACTGGTCAAAATAATTAACTTCTTGTCACCCATGTGTGAGACCCAGATGCAGTTCTTGGATCCTGGATTCCACCTTGCCCAGCTCCCGCTGGAGTGGGCATGTGGGGAGTGAACCAGCAGATGGAAGATCTCTCTCTCACACACTCCTTTTCAAATAAATAAATCCTTAAAAAGTAATAATAAAAATTTTAAAATAAAAACTTCTTGCTTAGACTGCAGAGATGAGGGGCCAGTGCTGTGGTGTACTTGGTAAAGCTACCACCTGCAAAACTGGCATCCCATATGGGCATTGGTTGGAGTCCCAGCTGCTCAACTTCCGATCCAGCTCCCTGCTAATGCACCAAGTCCTTGGGCCCCTGCACCCACGTAGGAGACCCAGATGAAGCTCCTGGTTTCGGCCTGGCCCAGCCCATTTTTTGTGGCCATTTGCGGAATGAACCAGCAGATGGAAGATCTCTCTCTTTCTCTCTCTCTTTCTCTCTTTGAAATAAATAAAGCTTTAAAAAAAAAGAATCCAGAGATGAGAGGGAAGAAACTCTACTGATTCAGTCCTTCCTTCAAATTCCTTTATTTATATATGATACTCCATTACTAGAAAAAAACCAGTGAATATTCCCACTTTCAAGTCTAAATTAGTGAGTATGCTTCTAATAATCACCACTTGATTGCTTTGTACTGGCAGTTACTGTGGGACACTCACATAGTTTCTTCATCAATGTCATTTTCTTCTGTGTTACTTGTTGCTGTGGAACTAGCAGAAGAACTGCTGCCATCAAGGTGATTTACTTCATCTTCACCAACAAGATCAAGATCCAGATCTCCATCTGAAAGCTCATGCTAGATCAAAGCAAAGCAAACAAGATATCCATTCCGAATGCCCAGGCCATGACCAAGAACCAAAGAACAACACAGTTAACAGAATTCTAATCCCTGCTCCTGTGGCAAGGCTGCTGAGTCCCATGGGGAAAAATTACACAACCACACTGACTGGCCCCACCACTAATTTCTGGGTACCAGTTTCAGCTAGGACCTGTGACTGGAAATGCTTCAGATATTCCACATCAGCTTCCAGAAAGGTTTCTCACAGACCAATGTTTCAAGTAAGCATTCAAGTCCTACTTAATTTTTATCATCCTTAAGGTCATTAAATAATCATGTCACCTATCTGCACGGAAAAAAAATTGAGGTTATTAAGCATAACTTCCCCAACTTTTCAGCTGTCCTTCATGCAAAACACTACCTTTCCTTTTACTCAATCCATCAAAGGTGAACTGCTTCATTGCAACTCCTATAATCCTCTTAGTTTACCAATGAGCTTAATTTCATCTTCAATCTCTCTCCCCACAGGTATTTTTATTTTACCACAAAACTAAAGCCTCCCATCTTAAAAGTAACTACCAAAAAACCTTCACTTATCTCTGCAACCCCGTCTTACTTAAAAATAATAATTATGGGGGCCGGCGCTGTGGTGTAGCGGGTAAAGCTGCCACCTGCAGTGCCAGCATCTCATATGGGCACCAGTTCGAGACCCAGCTGTTCCACTTCCGATCCAGCTCTCTGCTATGGCCTGGGAAAGCAGTAGAAGATGGTCCAAGTCCTTGGGCCCCTGCACCCCCGCATGGAAGACTGGGAAGAAGCTCCTGGCTCCTGGTTTTGGATAGCCACAGCTCTGGCTATTGTGGCCAGCTGGGGAGTGAACCAGCGGATGGAAGACCTCTCTCTCTCTCTCTCTCTCTGCTTCTCCTTCTCTCTGTGTAACTCTTTCAAATAAATAAATAAATCTTTAATAATAATAATAATAATAATAATAATAATGGGGTGGGCACTGTGGTATAGTAGGTTAAGCTACTGCTTGTGATGCCAGAATCCCCGTATTAGAATGCTGATTAGGTCTCAGCCACTCTGCTTCTGATTCAGCTTCCTGCTAACGTGCTTGGGAAGACAGGAAGATAACCCTGCTACCCAGTGAGAGGCCACAGTAGAGTTTAGGGCTCCTGACTTTGACCTGGTCTAGACCTGGCTGTTGGGACCATTTGGGGAGTGAACCAGTGGGTCAAAGATTTCTCTTTCTCTGCCTCTCCTCTCTTTGTCACTCTGCCTTTCGTATAAATATTGTTTTAAAAAACACATGAAAATCAATAAGAATTTTCAGTATCTTGTTCCTCCTACAATTGTATATTAGAAATCATGATCCTATTTTTGCCTCTTATCAAACACAAAATTAATCAAAAACTGGCCTATTACATGGTAATCTTCATTTTGAATCTTCTCCTCATCTTCGTCATCCTCTTTGGCCTCTCTTAGACAAGCTGCAGTAGAACCACCTTTGAGAAGAATGTCAGAGCATGACCCAGACTTCTTAGCTCGAACATCAGGAGTGTCATCATTTTGGGGGCTAAGATGATTATCTGGTGGTGATAAATCTCTTGATTTCTGAGTTCGAGATAGTTCAATGGTAAGTCTCTTTTAAAACAAGAACAGCACAAACATTAGGCATAACACATACTATCTCTCTTATCTCCTTCTACCTAAGTTTTGAGAAAAATGTCTAACAAAATAAATTACCCTATTTATTCTGATCCTTATCCTTTCATATCCAGACCAAGCAACATATACAATGAGCAAAGTATATAGTGAATAAATGGCAGTGTGAAATAGAACACTTAACATGAAAATCTCTGAAAGCACATTTTTATTCATATTTTTCTTACATAAGAGGATTATCTAAATCACTGAGACACACAACAAGAACTGACCTCAAACTACAGCATGGCTATGTAAAACAACTCTATGTGATAAGGGAAATGTTCTATATCTGCAGTGTGCAATAAAAGCTCTTAAAATGGGGCTACTGCACTTAAGGAATTGCATCCTAAAATTTAAGTTGAATTTACACAGACCTATGTAGTCAGTATTTATTCAACTGTATGATGCAGAATTAGAGGCTCAAATGTGCTAAGGATGGGGAAAGGATAAGTGGATTTCGTCCTACAAAATTATACGCAGCAATAAGTATCTAAAATATAATTATAAATACAATAGGCCCAAAATAGTAAAACATGTTATTTCCTTACCTCTTTAAGATTGTTTATTTGTTGTATGTAACTTGTTTGTGCACCTTCCAACTGAGTAATATACCAGTGTTGGTCCCGGCATTTTTGGAAAAAAGTAGGTGAACGTACCTGAAACCTTAAAAAACAGCTCAACATAAAAAATAATTCCAACAGCAAAATACTACTAAGCTAGATGATTCTAATTTTAGCTTTTTTGGTTATGTTATACAACAAATATTCTAATGCGCTCAGAGCTCCTGCAATTCACTGCTCAGAATTATACATGTAGTCCACAAATTATAATGACATTAGGTTCTCAAAAATCACTTGTCTAAACTCACAATGTACTTTTCTAAAGAAGTAACATTTTATGGTTAAGCTCTGACCTAACCTACTAAAGCACATGTATAATAAAAATGCAGTTCAAACACAATGATGATAAAGAGAAGATAAGGCCACATTATGTAGGAAGGAGAAGATAATGCTTTTCTGCTCCTTTTCATGACTGTGTCTGTTCCTAGCCAAATATGTTAAATTTAAGTGTAGTTCTTTGGATTTCTCTATTCTATCTCATGTTCTCATATTTCCTGCTCCTCAACCACGGAGGACTGCTTTATTATCCTCTGAAGATTTATATGTTCTAATATAAATCTGCTGTGGCTCAGTGGGTTAAATCCACAGCCTGTAGTGCCAGCTTCCCATGTGGTTACAGGTTTGAGTCCTGGCTACTTCACTTCCAATCCAGCTCCCCGCTAATACACCTAGGAAAGTAGTGTAAGATGACCCAAGCATTTGGGCCCCTGTGAGACTGGAGGAAGCTCCTGCCTCCTGGCTTCAGCCTGGCCTAGTCTGGGCTATTGCAGCCATTTGGGAAGTGAATCAGTGGATGAAAGGTTTCTCTCTCTGTCTCTCCTTCTCTCTGTAACTCTGCATTCCAAATAAATTTTTGAAAAAAAAAAAAAATACACAATTTTCATGTCAGTTAAAAATATTTTAAAAAGGTAAAACTTAACTTTCTCTTTTAGTAAAAGAAAAAGGTATTTATATACATAGAAAAACCTTAATGTTGGCCGGTGCCGTGGCTCACTAGGCTAATCCTCAACCTGCGGCACTGGCACTCCGGGTTCTAGTCCCAGTTGGGGCGCCAGTTCTATCCCAGTTGCTCCTCTTCCAGTCCAGCTCTCTGCTGTGGCCCGGGAGGGCAGTGGAGGATGGCCCAAGTACTTGGGCCCTGCACCTGCATGGGAGACCAGGAGGAAGCACCTGGCTCCTGGCCATTTGGGGGGTGAACCAACAGAAGGAAGACCTTTCTCTCTGTCTCTCACTGTCTAACTCTGCCTGTCAAAAAAGAAAAGGAAAAAGAAAAACCTTAATGTTTTAATAAGTACAAATAAAACTTTACTAGAATTATTAATTCAATGAGGTTTAAATTTTGAACAATCACTAAATAAGTATTATGAATAACAGGATAACTAAAAGACCCCTCTGAACAAACCCCACAGCAACTTATCTGTATAGCTATTACAGAGGACAGCGCTGTGGCACAGAGGGCTAAGTCTCCGCCTATAGCACTGGCATCCCATATGGGGGCTGATTCGTGTTCCAGCTGCTCCTCTTCCAATCCAGCTCTCTACTTACAGCCTGGGGAAGCAATGGAGTATGGACCAAGTGCTTCGGCCTCTGTACTCACATGGAAGACTGAGGAGAAGCTCCTGGCTCCTGACCCGCCCAGTTCTGGCTCTTGCGACCACTTAGGGGAATAAACCAGCAGATGGAAGATCTCTCTGTCTCTCCTCTCTAACTCTACCTTTCAAAAAAATAAATCTTTAAGGGGCAGCACTGTGGCGCAGTGGGTAAGTCTCCACCTGCAGCTATGGCATCCCACATGGGCGCCAGTTCTAGTCCCAGCTGCTCCTCTTCCAATCCAGCTCTCTGCTACGGCCTGGGAAAGCAAAAGAAGATGGCCGGGCGCTTGGGCCCCTATAACTGCATGAAGACCCAGAAGAAGATCCTGGCTCTTGGCTTTGGATTGGCGCAGCTCCTGCTATTGCAGCCACTTGGGGAGTGAACCAGCACATGGAAGACCTCTCTCTTTTTCTCGCTCTCCCTCTCACTGTAACTCTACTTCTCAAATAAATAAATAAACCTTTTTAAAAAAAAATCTTTGGGGCCAGCGCTGTGGCACAGCAGGTTAAAGCCCTGGCCTGAAGCACCAGCATCCCATATGGCACGTTTATTTTTCTTTTTTTATTGTTGACAAGCAGAGTGGACAGTGAGAGAGAGAGACAGAGAGAAAGGTCTTCCTTTACCGTTGGTTCACCCTCCAATGGCCGCTGCGGCCAGCGCATTGTGGCAGGCACACCGTGCTGATCCAAAGCCAGGAGCCAGGGGCTTCCTCCTGGTCTTCCATATTGGTGCAGGGCCCAGGGACCTGTGCCATCTTCCATTGCACTCCCGGGCCACAGCAGAGAGCTGACCTGGAAGAGGGGCAACCGGGACAGAATCCGGCACCCCGACCGGGACTAGAACCCGGTGTGCCAGCGCCGCAGGCGGAGGATTAGCCTATTAAGCCATGGCGCTGGCCCCATATGGGCACCAGTTATAGTCCCGGCTGTTCCTCTTCCGATCTAGCTCTCTGCTATGGCCTGGGAGGGCAGTGGAAGATGGCCCAAGTCCTTGGGCCCCTGCACCCGCGTGAGAGACCCGGAAGAAGCTCCTGGCTCCTGGTTTCAGATAGGAACAGCTCCAGCCATTATGGCCATCTGGGGAGTGAACCAGTGGTTGGAAGACCCTCTCTGTCTCTACCTCTCTCTGTAACTCTGCCTTTCAAATAAATAAATCTTTAAAAAAAATTTTTTTAAATTAAGCTTATAAAACCTTTCACCTAAATGTAATATATAAAGTGAAAAAAATAATCTTTTACTATTCTTAGATTTTCAAATGGTAAGGTTGCTAAAAGTTCAATAGATAAATGGGACATTACTACGTTTAATAGAGTATATAAGATGGTTATCCTTCATCTGAAATGCTTGAGACCAGAAGTGTTTCAAATTCCATATTTTATCAGATTTTGGAACATTTGGATATATATATATTTATATTTATATTTATATTTATATACATAAAGAGATATCTTGGGAATGGAACTAAGCAGGAAATTCACTTATGTTTCATTTACACTTAAGGTACATGGCAAGAGGTAATTTAAAATATTTTTAGTGTGCCTGAGTCACATTAAATCAGGTGTGGAATAATCCCCTTGTGGTATCAGGTCAGTGCTCAAAAATTTTCATTTCAGAGCATTTGGGATTTCGATTTTATGATTTGGGATGCTCAATTTCTAGTGGCTTCCTTTTTAACGCAATTACTATCTGTAGATGGAACAAATTTCTGGTATTTATTATCCACTGACTATACAAGACCCCTAAAATATAACAATTAAAAATGGTGGGGTTATAGCTAGTATGAGTTTCAATATTAATCTTTGCTAAATTAATACTTTGAAATAAAAGTTCTGAGGTATTATTCCCCAGTGACAAAAGCCACCATATCACGTTTTCTATTACCTTAGTATCACTGTATCATTCTGTCGATTCAAGTATCCTTCATTTGCAAGTAAGTCCAAACGGAAAAATCTGTTATAGCCCCAGCATTCTCCAACCTCAAAGTCAGATGCAAATTCTCGAATGATGTTTTTGGTGGGATCATTGCAGGACTGGTGAACCATCTCTACACGATATTCATATCTAAATTGAGAAACAGAACATGATTATAGAGTTAAAGAAAGAATGAAAAACAGGCTCATCTAAACATTAAGGCATGGAGTAATTACCTGAGAATTAAGTCACTGTAACAGTTACATTTTTTTCAGAAAAGATTGCACTATTTACAAAACCAGCCGTAATTTGTATACTGGCAAAACAAGACTGACATTAGATCTTATTTTCCTCATAAAAATGTTTAGGCCGGTGCCACAGCTCACTAGGCTAATCCTCCACCTGTGGCGCCTGCACACCGGGTTCTAGTCCCGGTCGGGGCGCCAGATTCTGTCCTGGTTGCTCCTCTTCCAGTCCAGCTCTCTGCTGTGGCCCGAGAGGGCAGTAGAGGATGGCCCAAGTGCTTGGGCCCTGCACCCACATGAGAGACCAGGAAGAAGCACCTGGCTCCTGGCTTCGGATCCACATAGGGCGCCAGCCGCAGCACGCTGGCCGTAGTGGCCACTTGTGGGGTGAACCAACGGAAAGGGGAAGACCTTTCTCTCTCTCTCTCTCTCTCTCTCTCTCTCTCTAACTCTGTCAAAAAAAAAAAAATATATTTACCTACATGCCAGATATAAAACAGCACCTTGAAAAATGTAATAAATTTTAAGTACTTCAAAGCTACTCCTGTCCTACCAATGCTGCAAATTTTTCCATATATTGATTACTTACACTTATTCACATATGAATATTCTGTAATTTCTAACACCTTCTGAGGCTAACTACCACACAATTTTAAAACACACATTTTTAAATACTCTGTTTTTCTAATCAAATTATAATAAAGCAACTTACCACGTATTTCAGAACTTTGAGGCTATATAAATTTTCTAACACAAAATAAGTACATTTGGGAAAGTCAGTACATTCCAATTTACATCTTAGTGTATAAAGTATTTTCAAAAATTATTTACTGGGGCTGGCACTGTGGAGTAGTAGACTAAGCCTCCACCTGCAGTGCCGGCATTTCATATTGGTACCAGTTCACGTCCTAGCTGTTCCTTTTCTGATCCAGCTCTCTGCTTTTAGCCTGGGAAGGCAGTAGAGGATAGCCTAAATGCTTGGGCCCCTGCACCCACCTGGAAGACCTGGAGGAAGCTCCTGGCTCCTGGCTTAAGATTGGCCCAGTTCCAGCTGCTGTAGCCATTTGGGGAGTGAAACAAAAAGAATACCTTTCTCTGTGTCTCTGTTTGTAACTCTACCTTTCAAATAAAAATATTTTTAAAAAATCATTTACTTTCACTTTATTTGAAATGCAGAGAGATGAGGAAGGACAAAGACAGATTTTTCCATCTGCTGTTTCATTCCCCAAATGCCCACAATGGCCAGAGCTGGGCCAGTCTGAAGCTTGGATTTGCAAACTCAATCCAGGTCTCCTATATAGGTATCAGGGCCCCACATACTATCACCTGCTGACTCCCAGGATTCACATTAGCAGGAAGCTAGAATCAGAAGCAAGAGACAGGACTTAAACCCAGACACTCATTAAGATGCAGGGATCCCAAGCAACAACTTGACTGCTGGCACCAAATACTACCTTCTCTATTGTACAAAATGCTTATGCCACAAAAAAGATTAAAAAGTCTGTAAAGTGTTGTGTATTGGGGCCGACACGGTAGCATAGCAGGTAAAGCCACTGCCTGTGGTGCCAGCATCCTATATGGGTGCCTGTTTGAGTCCCGGCTGTTAAAACTTCTGATCCAATTACCTGTTGATTTGCCTAGGAAAGTGGCAGAGGATGGCCTGAGTGCTTGGGTCCCCACACCCACAGTGGCAGACCTGGAAGAAGCTCCTCACTTCAGATCAGCCCAGCCGGCCCTTGCAGGGATCTGGGGAGTAACCAGCAATGGAAGAAGATTGATCTCTCTCTTTCTCTCTTTCTTTCTCTCTCTCTGTAACTCTGCCTTTCAAATAAATAAATGTATCTTAGAGGGAAAAAAAAAGATAAAAATGTTGTGCATCAAAAGACACTGGGGTGGTCCTGGTGGTGTGGTGGCTTAGCTAAGCCATCACTTGGGATGCCTGCATCCCATATCAGAGTACTTAGGTTTGAGTCCCAGCTGCATTGCTTCTAATCTAGCTCTAAACTAACGTGGGAAAGAGAGGATGATGGCTCAAGTACTCAAGTTTCTGCCACCCAAGTGGCTCCTGGCTTTGGCCTTGTCCAACCCTAGCTGTTGTGGTCATTTGGGCAGTAAACCAGCAGATAGATCAATCTTTCCCTCCCTCCCTCACCCCAAATTTCAAATAAATAAAATTTTTAAAGCATGTTATTTAGCTTTCAAATATATAGGCATTTTCAAAACATCTATAATTGAAATCTAATTCCATTTTGGTCAGAAAACATACTTAAAATGATCTTAATTCTTCTGAATACTGAGACATGCTTTATGGCCCAAGATACATTCCAGGTAAATATTCTGTGTGAATTAAAGAATACTTTGTATTATACTATTGATGGATGGAATATTCTATAAATAACAAGTTGGCTGATGGTATTACCTAGTGCCTGGTACTTGCTCGGGGCCAATAAATCATATTCTTCAGGATTTTCTGTCCACTTGTTGGCATACTGATTTAGAGAAGAGCTGTCTGTCTAAATCTTGTAATTCTATCAGTTTTTGTTCCATAAATCTTAAAATCCACTTATTAGGAGTATAAACATGTTTAGAAGTATATGCTCTTGATTAACCTATCATTTCATAACTATGAAATAAGCTACTTTATCCCTGGTAATATGAGGATACTTTGAGCCAACATTGTGGCATAGTGGGTTAAGTCACCACCTGCAATAAGGATCCCATATGAGTACTGGTTCCAGTCCTGGCTGTCCACTTCCAATCTAGCTCCCTGAAGATATGCCTGAGAAAGCATCAACAGATGATCTGAATTCCTGGGCCCCCGCCACCCACGTGGGAGACCTGGATGGAGTACCAGGCTCCTGGCTTCAGCCTGACCCAAACCCAGCCATTTTAGCCATTTGAGGAGTAAACCAGCAGATGGAGGATCTCTTTCCTTCCCTTTGTAACTCTGCCTTTCAAATAAATAAATCAACAGGGAGAGATGACAGGGAAAGAGAGATATTCCAACTGATGGCTAAAATGTTCCCAACAGGCTGGCGCTGTGACGCAGCGGGTTAACGCCCTGGCCTGAAGCCCTGGCATCCCATATGGGCGCTAGTTCTAGACCTGACTGCTCCACTTCCTGTCCAGCTCTCTACTATGGCCTGGGATAGCAGTGGAAGATGGCCCAAGTCCTTGGGCCCCTGAACCCGCGTGGGAGACCTGGAAGAAGCTCCTGGCTCCTAGCTTCGGATCAGCTCAGCTCTGGCCATCGCGGTCATTTAGGGAGTGAACCAGCAGAATGGAAGCTCTCTCTCTCTCTCAGCTCTGGCCATTGAGGTCATTTAGGGAGTGAAGAAGCAGAATGGAAGCTCTCTCTCTCTCTCTGTAACTATTTCAAATAAATAAAATAATGCTTTAAAAAAAAGAAATTAAATATAAAAAATATGAGACTCCAATAGTTTTTCTTTTGAGACAAACAATACAGATCTCAAAAAATGGAAACCAATACAAGTTCTCTCAACAAATATTTAATTTTAAAAAAGCAGTTACTTTTCAAAAAAATATTAATATGCAACAGGTTTATTTTTGAAGGGAACTAATTTATTTCTAATTCAGAAAATAACAGATTTAGCTCATATAAAGAAAAATCCTTTCAGGTTTCCAATAATTTTTTTTTTTTTTTTGACAGGCAGAGTGAATAGTGAGAGACAGAGACAGAGAGAAAGGTCTTCCTTTTGCCATTGGTTCACCCTCCAATGGCCGCCACGGCTGGCGCGCTGCGGCCGGCACACCGCGCTGATCCAGTGGCAGGAGCCAGGTGCTTCTCCTGGTCTCCCATGCAGGTGCAGGGCCCAAGCACTTGGGCCATCCTCCACTGCCTTCCCGGGCCACAGCAGAGAGCTGGCCTGGAAGAGGGGCAACTGGGAAAGAATCCGGCACCCCGACCGGGACTAGAACCCGGTGTGCCGGCGCCGCTAGGTGGAGGATTAGCCTATTGAGCCGTGGCGCCGGCCAGGTTTCCAATAAATTTTAAGAACATAATGGTCCCTGAGACCAGTTTTAAGAACTGCCAGTCTACACCATCATATATTATGTCAAGAATTCCATACCAATATACATCTTAATAGACATAAAATACAATAATTAACAAATTCGTCAATAAAAATTTCTGGGTGAAATGTATGTAAATGCATCTTAAGCTTGTTTAATTATATTACTTACTTAGAAGTTTCAGGCAATCCAGCTGAGAGTTCCAGAAACACAGATAAATAGTAACCACGTACAACTCCATTTCCATCCTAAAAAAAGAATGCAAATAAAACTTATTTAAATGTAAAAAATGAAGCATAATGAAACAAAGATTAACATTTTATATTTGCATTGGGCAGTATTCTAAACTTAAAAACTAGAAAAGAAATAATAAAAACACCGACAGATTTAAGTTCACAATAATTTTAAACTGTTGCTTATTAAGGAATACAAATAAGGAAAATAACAACAATGAAAAGAGTTAGAGGAGTTTTGGGGCCAGCATAGTGGAGCAGTGGGTTTAGCTATTGCTTAAAACTCTAGCATCCCATTTCAGAGTGACAGTTTGAGTCTCAGGTATTCCACTTGCAATATAGCTTCCTACTAATGTGCTTGGGAAGGCAGAGGAAGAATGGCCCAAGTACTTGGGCCTCTGCCACACATTAACTGAAATTATTTTACCATTTTTATTTTAACTTGTTTGGAAGACTTATAGAAAGAGAAGGATGGACATGCGTGTGCACACACATACACACACACACACAGATCTTCCATCCTCTGGTCCATTCCCCAAATGGTAGTAATGGCTAGGGTTGGGCAAAGCCAGGAGCATGGAACCCAATCCTGGTCTCCCATGTGAGTGGCAAAGGGCCCAAACATCTGCTGTTTTCCCAGGTGCATTAGCAGGGAGTTGGACCGAAAGTGGAACAGCAGGGACTTCAACAGGCACCTATTTGGAACGTGGATGTTGCAGGTGGTGGCTTAACCTGCTGTACCACAACACTGGGCCCATAAAGTTATTTTATCTTTGAAAACTAAATAGTATTTGTCAAAACCCATAAAATGTACAAGACATAGAGGGAAACCTAATACACTATGGTCTTTGGGTGATAATATGTCAGTGCAAGTTCATCAACTATAAAGGATGTACCACTCTGGGATAGGATGTTGACAGTAAGGGAAGCTAGACATGTTTGGAGTCAGGAGGATCTATAAAAACTCAACTTTCGTAAAAAGTAACTGAAAAAATGATTACAAACCACTCCACCTACAGACAGTCATGTTAAAACTAAAGGGGCCTAGAAACAATAACTGGGGCTGGCACTTGGCATAGCAGGTAAAGCTGCCACCTGCAGTGCCAGCATCCCATATGGGCAGTGGTTCAAGTCCCAGCTGCTCCACTTCTGATTCACTTCTCTGCTATGGCCTGGGAAAGCAGTAGAAGATGGCCCAAGTCCTTGGGCTCCTGCACAGGCGTGCAGCTCTGGCTGTTGCGGGCATCTGTATAGTGAACCACCAGATGGAAGACCTCTCTCCTTCTCTCTGCCTTTCAGGTAAATAGATAAATCCTAAATAAATAAATAAATAAAAATTTTAAAAAAGCCATCCGGCTCCAGAAGGCTGTGAGGCAGGGCTTCTATTCTATCCTACTGGACAATGTGATCAGCCCTCTGCACCTCACAAGACAATCCTTTCCAAGGCCACCCTCAAACACCACAGAAGAAATCCCATAACTAGCTCTATGCCTATATTCCATGAAGAAAATACAGAAGATGGGCCTTCATCCATGCCACCCCCATAAGATGATGGGTTACTTCTCCGGAGGAGGGAATGTTAAGGTAGGTAGGTAGATATTAGCCTGTGTGTGTAAGAGGTGCCAAGGAAATGGGAATTCTTGTGTGGATGGGTGAGGGAAGAAAAAGAGAAGCAAGCTTTGGGAGCAGACTAGCATTTACAAATCAAAAGTCTTTTTCTTATTCAACAACTTGTTGGGTGGATCTTTTGTATGGCTACAAGAGGGAAGAAATGTAGATGAAAACCAGAATCTCCATATCAAAAGTTTTATCACTGTTCAATAATATGGTTGGGAACAGCTCAAAGGAATATATCTGCCCAATACCAAAGGAACTATTAGGTCCATATTAGTTCTAGGAAATTTTAGGAATTCTATACCCAGGAAGCCTTCTACTCAGCAATATTCCAGAAAGGATGTGGGAGGAGGAGAAATGGATGGCCCATATTCTTATTCATAAACACTCCAGTCTGAGTGCAGACTGGGCTCTCTCTTCAAATGCCCACCAGGTATATCAGGTGTACTTGTCTTCATTAAATTTTGCTTCAATATGCCAAAAAGAGAGAGGAAAGGGAGAGGGGCAGGGGAGGGGAGGGAAGGAGAAAAGGCCAGGCCAATTCTGGGTCTGGGGTAGGAAATGTGTAAGAAAATCCTAGAACAGCTTATCATCTAAGAGAACAAGACACTAATTACTAGGGTAACAAAGGATTCAGGAGCCAACACAGAAAGATTAAATGTGTACAGATCCATGAGTTCATAATTATAGTAAAAAACAATGCAACAAAACAACAAACAATTGTCATAATAGTTAAGACCCCATGGGGGGGGGGGGGGGGTCAGCACTGTGGCGCGAGTTAAAGCCCTGTCCTGAAGCACCAGCATTCCATATGGGCGATGGTTCTAATCCTGGCTGCACTGGTTAGTAGGATAAGCCTCTGCAGTGCAGGCATCCCATAAGCCGGTTTAAGTCCCAGCTACTCCTCTTCTGACCCAGCTCTCTGCTATGGCCTGGGAAAGCAGCAGATGATGGCCCAAGTTCTTGGGTCTCTGTACCCAGGTGGGAGACGTGGAAAAAGCTCCTGGCTTCAGATAGGCTAAGCTCTGGCAGTTGTAGCCATTTAGGGAGTGAAACAAAAGATGGAAGAACTCTCTCTCTCACTCTCCCTCCCTCTCTCTCTCTCTCTCTCTGTGTATCTCTACCTCTAAAGTAAAATAAAATCTTTAAAAAAAAAAAAAAAGTATGTCAAGAAGAAAAATTGGTAAATGAAGGGGAAAAAATCCTGCTTTTCTGAATTATTATATTGGGTAATAAAATATAAGAAGGAAAGCATCCCTGAGATGGTATTACAATAAATGAAAAAAAATAAAGTAAAATGAGAATATTTGGGGAGGATTTTGCAACTTCTGATGACTCAACAGACATAGGGAATGAGCACTGATAGTTGCTAACATCAGAAAAAGAGCTGCAACTAGGCAATATGGGATAAAAGCATACACTACAATTCATATTCTAGCCAAAAGAATAGCCTTAGACTCACCATCAGCCAATTTAAAATACAAAGGTTAAGGATCACATTAACATGCATGTGAGTATGCAACAGTAGCTATATTTTTCAAGTGAGTTTTAAAAGAATTTTAAACATTTCTTCTAAAAGAATCTATGAACCAAAAATAAATTTAACAATACAGCAAAAGAAAAAATACTATGTAAAGGTTCATAATTATCTCTTTTATTTTATTTTATTTTTTGACAGGCAGAGTTAGACAGTGAGAGAGAGAGACAAAGAGAAAGGTCTTCCTTCCGTTGGTTCACCCCCCAAATGGCCGCTAAGGCCGGCGTGCTGTGCCGATCCGGAGCCAAGAGCCAGGTGCTTCCTCCTGGTCACCCATGCGGGTGCAGGGCGCAAGCACTTGGGCCATCCCCCACTGCCTTCCCGGGCCACAGCAGAGAGTTGGACTGGAAGAGGAGCAACCGGGACAGAATCCAGCACCCCAACTGGGACTACAACCCGCAGGCAGAGGATTAGCCTAGTGAGCCTTGGCGCCGGCCAACTTTTCATATATTTTATAACATACCCCATGAAGAAACAAAATTGTCATTACCTTAATTTCCTTACTCCACTAAAAAGTGTGCTAGTATTTTATAGAATCCTGAAAAGAAACACTTCGGTTTCAAAAGTTATCAGAAATACAAAAAACGTACTGGGTAAACTTTTAACCTCCAGCAAAGTCCTGAAACTTGAAGAGGTGGACTGTAAACAGGATCTGCTCTCTGGCGTAAAGTGCTAAAGAGAAATAAAACCAAATTTCAAGGTTAAGACTGTTCAGAAATGGCAACCGGCAAAACCAAAACCCAGCTTCTTTATCATATATATTTGAAATCCTGTCATATATTTGAAAGTAACAGAAGATGACCAAATAAGATTTCACTGCATAAGTTTAGAAACACTTGTATTCTTAAATAAAATTTAATTATACTGAATTCAATAATATCTTGTATACATTTCAATTTTTTAAAAAGAAGTATTACTCAGTATCCTGAATTTAATGACTGCTTCAACAAGGAGTCTTCAACAAGGAGTGTCACAACAGGGGCTGGAATTGTGTCATAACAGGTTAAGCCTCCACCTGTGGTGCCAGCATCCCACATGGGTGCCAGTGCAAGTCCCAGCTGCTTTACTTCTGATCAGAGCTGCTTGCTAATGGCCTAGGAAAGCAACAAAAGATGGCCCAAGTGCTTGGGCCCCTGAATCCACACAGAAGACCTGGAAGAAGCTCCTGGCCTCAGACTGGCCCAGCTCTACCCATTGCAGCCATTTGGGGAGTGAACCCAGTGGATGGAAGACCTCCTTCTCTGTAACTCTGCCTCTCAAATAAATAAATAAATCATTTTTAAAAAATCAGAATGTGTTTTTTCCTCACTCTCTTTAGTATAATTATCCCTTTTTCAACAAAGAGACAAAGAGAACATGTTCTAAGCCTTAATATATTGGAGGAAAATCTCACAGAGGCTATGTTTTAGCCACAAAATTATCCCACAAGAGGGTCAGTCATTGTGGTGCAATAGGACACTTGGGACACCCTTATCCCATATCACAGTAAGGATTCAAGTCTTGGGTACTTGAGCCAGCTTCTCGCTAATGCGCCTATGTACTTGGGTTCCTGTCACCCACCTAGTAAACCTGAATGGAGTTCCTGGCTCCTGGCTTGGGTCTAACACAGCCCAGGCTGTTGCAGGCATTTGGGAAGTGAACCAGTGACATGAAGACTTTGCTCTGTCTGTCCCTCTCTGACACTTTGCTTTTCAAATCAATCAATCAATTTTTAAAATAAAAAATGTAAAGGGGTATAAACTCTCACATTATGGCCTTATTTGGCTGTCTATTACCTTCTTGAGTTTATCTCCTAGAGACCTTGTTATTCTTTTTTTTTTTTTTTATGGTAAAGACTGCTTTATTGGTGGCAGTTAGTACAAGTCAATAAATACTGATCCCCAGAGAAGAGCTCAGCTATTTATCAAATTACTGGTTCATAGAGAGCTGAATGGAACTGAACCAAGTAATTACTGGGATGACTCAGGTCAATCCTGCTTCTTGGGAAATGAAGCCATGGCCAGCTGATATATGGCATATGCTGTTCCACCAACTGTAAGAATCATGGTGGCTCTATACAGGAGAGCATCAGCTACCCCACCTTTTAGATGCACTGGAATTCCATTATCCTCCTGAAATAGCTTTTGTTTCTCTGGAACTTTATTTTCAAAATGCCTGCATGAAGCAGTGCTTATGGTTCTCTGGGCAATCTGATGAAGAGCCAGCAGATTTCGCAGCATCTTGGCTCCGCTACTGTCCACCAACCGCGACAACTGACAACCAGGAACCAACCTAGTTATTCTTAGTTCCTACTTCCATCCTGTCCTTGAAGATAAGTTCCTTAAGACCTTTTGTTTTAATATGTTTGCTTCTAATTAGAGAAATAGCAGTAAAAGCTAAACAGGTTGACATGCATCTTACAAAGTATACAAATTTTTGACAGTAATGACATCTTATCTCTAATTCCTCACTTTGAGCTGAGAAAAACGGATCCCAAAGGACTCTTCCTCACCACTTTTATTTCCTAGGATGGGTGGACAGGGGCTTATCGACCCTATATTCCCAGTCCTCATGTCAGCAAAATTAAGTGGATATTGTTCTTTAAAATGGTTACTGGCATTGTGGCCTAGCAGGTTAAGCTGCCAGTTGTGATACTGACATCAGAAGCTTTAAATCCAGCTTCCTGGTAATGTGCCTGGGATGATCCAAATATTTGAGCCTCACCACCACTCACATAGAGACCTGAATAGAGTTCCTGGCTCTGGCATCTGCCTGGCCCAGACCTGGCTTTTGCTGTGATTTGGGAAGTGAATTAGCAGATGGACAATCTCTCGCTTCCTTGCTTGCTTAGCCTTTCAAATAAATGAATGAATGAATGAATGAATCTCTTAAAAAAAAAATAGGGCCAGCACTATGGCACAATGGTTTAGGCCACTGCCTGCAGTGCCGTCATCCCATAAGGGTGCCGGCTAATTCCCAGCTCCTCCATTTCCAATCCAGCTCCTGGCTAATGACCTGGGAAAAGCAGCAGAAGATGGCTCGAGTCTTTGGGACTCCACATGCGATGTGGGAGACCCAGAGGAGACTCCTGGCTCCAACCCTGGGCGCTATAGAAGATTGCACTCTGTCTCTCCTTTCTGCAACTCTTTCAAATAAATAAATAAATCTTGAAAAAAAAATTTTTAAAGTTACTTTTCCCAGACTAGAGGAACAATCAGTCCTGAAGATACAATACAGTCTGAGCATCTCTAATTTGAAAATACAAAATGGGGGCCAGTGTTGTGGAGAAGAAGGTAAAGCCACAGCCTTTGATGCTGGCATCCCATGTGGGCACCCATTTGGGTCCAGGCTGCTCCACTTCCAATGCAGCTTCCTGCTAATGGCCTGGGAAAGCAGTGGAGAATGGCCCAAATATTTGGGCCCTTGCCACCTATATGGAGACCCAGATGAATCTCCTGGCTCCAGGCTTTAGCCTAGCCCAATCCTGGTCACTGCAGCCATCACGGTCATCTGGGGAATGAAATTAGTAGATGGGAGCTCTCACACACACTCTCTGAAATTCTCTGAAAATAAATAATAAATCTGGGGCCAGCGCTGTGGCGTAACAGGTAAAGCCGCCGCCTTCGCGCCAGCATCCCATATGGGCGCCGGTTAGAATCCTGGCTGATCCACTTCTGATCCAGCTCTCTGCTATGGCCTAGGACAGCAGTAGAAGATGGCCCAAGTCCTCGGGCCCCTGACCCTGCATGGGAGACCAGGAAGATGCTCCTGGCTTCAGACTGGCACAGCTCCAGTCATTGCAGCCAATCAGTGAGTGAACCAGCGGATGTAAGACCTCTCTCTTTCTCTCTGCCTCTCCTTCTCTCACTGTGTAACTCTGACTTTCAAGTAATAAATCTTTAAAAAAATAAAATAAAATGGCACATGTGCTAAACAGCACTTTGGCCTCAGAATCAGCCCTTAAGGCATTCAGATCTGGCTGAAGAGCCCATGAGAGTATTTTAGGCATGGAAAGCCAAGACACTCTGGCAAAAAAAAATGACCTAAGTGAAAGATCTCTGCGAATGAGATCCCAGCAGAAAGAACGGGCCATCAAAGAAGGAGGTACCTTTCTCTGAAGGAAGGAGAGAACTTCCACTTTGACTATGACTTTGTCTAAATAAAATCAGAGTTGGCGAACTCAAAAGGCTTCCATAGCCCTGGCAGCTCATGACAAGAGCCTAGGGTAATTACTGACACCATAAATAAGAGTGTCGATTGTTAAGTCAACAACAGGAGTCACTGTGCACTTACTCCCCATGTAGGATCTCTGTCCTTAATATGTTGTACTATGTGAATTAACGGTATAACTAGTACTCAAATAGCACTTTACACTTTGTGTTTCTGTGTGGGTGCAAACTGTTGAAATCTTTACTTAGTATATATTAAATTGATCTTCTGTATATAAAGAAAATTGAAAATGAATCTTGATGTGAATGGGATGCAAGAGGAAGCGGGAGATGGGAGGGGTGCGGGTGGGAAGTTATGGGGGGAGGGGGGAACCAATGTAATCCAAAAGCTGTACTTTGGAAATTTATATTTATTAAATAAAAGTTAAAAAAAAATCTTAAAAAAAAAGAAATAAAATACACAGTGCTCCAACTCAGAAACTTTCTGACACCAACATGACTTGACAAATCGATAATTCCATACCTTTGCTAAATATCGCACATAAAAATATATTCAGGGCGCCAGCACTGTGGCGGGGAGATACTGAACCTACAAGATTCAGAAACATAGCCTCTGTGCTCCTAACAGGAAACTTCATTCTTCTCAGAGTACTAAACTAAGTGATACACACTGCACTAGACCTCTGTCCTACCAAGAAATAAGACTTTCCCTGACTCCTCATTATGGGTAAACACAAACACAAAGTCAAGTTGCCAAAAGCTCTTACCTGAAATTCTCTAAAACAAAAGTTGCAGAATCATAAGATGGCACTAATTCACTAAAAAGAAGCAAAAAGGGAAAATACATTTAACTTATTTAAGTTTAAAATTACAGTTAGTTTTAAAAAAAAGTTCCTTAACAATATCTTGAAAACATGATTAAACACACACCTGAGAAATACATTCTTCTGACTAAACATAGCAGGAAGTCAAATGAATTCATATATACATCAAAAGTTTGTAATTAAGTTGAAGACATAACAAATACTTTATAAAACACTTTTTTAAAGACTACATAAGAGGGGCCAGCACTGTGGCATAGTGGGTAAAGCGGCCACCTGCAGTGCCGGCATCCCATATGGGCGCTGGTTCAAGTCCCAGCTGCCCCAACTTCTCATCCAGCTCTCTGCCATGGCCTGGGAAAGCAGTAGAAGATGGCCCAAGTGCTTGGGCCCCTGCACCACGTGGGAGACCTGGAAGAAGCTCCTGGCTTCGGATCGGCACAGCTTTGGCCATTGTGGCCAATTAGGGAGTGAACCCACAGACGGAAGACTTCTCTCTTTCTGTCTCTCTGCAACTCTGCCTTTCAAATAAATAAGATAAATCTTTTTTAAAAAAGACAATATTTTTTTAAAAGATTAATTTTATTTATTTGAAAGACAGTTACAGAGAGAGGTAGAGACACAGAGAGAAGTCTTCTATCCGCTGGCTCACTCCACAGATGGCCACAACGGCCGGAGCTGCGCCAATCCAAAGCCAGGAGTCAGGAGCTTCTTCCAGGTCTCCCACACGGTTGCAGGGGCCCAAGGACATGGGCCATCTTCTACTGCTTTCCCAGGCCATGGCAGAGTTGGATTGGAAGTGAAGCAGCCAGGATTAGAACCGGCACCCATATGGGGTGCCGGCACTTCAGGCCAGGGCTTTAACCCACTGTGCCACAGCGCTAGCCCCAAAAGACAATATATGAATAAGCATTAAAATAAATGCATTAGACTAATGTAATAAAAACTGTGGAAATAAGAAAGCCTAGGCCGGCGCCGCGGCTCACTAGGCTAATCCTCCACCTAGCGGCGCCGGCACACCAGGTTCTAGTCCCGGTCGGGGCGCTGGATTCTGTCCCGGTTGCCCCTCTTCCAGGCCAGCTCTCTGCTGTGGCCAGGGAGTGCAGTGGAGGATGGCCCAGGTGCTTGGGCCCTGCACCCCATGGGAGACTAGGAAAAGCACCTGGCTCCTGGCTCCTGCCATCGGATCAGTGCGGTGCGCCGGCCGCGGCGTGCCGGCCGCGGCGGCCATTGGAGGGTGAACCAACGGCAAAGGAAGACCTTTCTCTCTGTCTCTCTCTCTCACTGTCCACTCTGCCTGTCAAAAAATAAAAAAAAAATAAAAATAAAAAAAAAAGAAAGCCTAAGAATCTAATGCTTAGGTCAGGAACCTGAATCACAAAACAGATATAAATAGGCTTAAAAAGAAGCAACTAAAGTATATTATGTCAAAATTAATCCCCAAACTTCCCTCACTAATAAACCTTAAATATTTTGAGACTATTTATTAGCAAAAACCTATTACAATTTTATAAGATTAAAATATATTATCACTTAAGGGGTGACTGGGATAAACTAGAACATTAACACTTTCTTGCAAAGTAAACTCAAGCAATTTGAGTTCCATCCAAATTTCTCCAAACAGAACTGAACTAACAGGAGATAGGTTAAGGGATAATTCATAGCACTAACTAACCTTAGATCATGGGGATGGTTTTAACACTATGAAAATCATTTATACACCATTTACAATAAAGAACTTACCATACAAAGTACTATAATACAGTTATAAATTTTACACAAAAAAATTACAAATCTAACAAGTCATTTCACCACGTAGTCACATATTTTCTAAAGTTCAATTCATCAGAATTCTGATTATTGCAAACATAAGATATGCAACATCTGTAGTACTGTCACACTGTTTTGTTTTGTTTTGTTTTAAGATTTTTTATTTATTTATTTGACAGGTAGTTACAGAGAGAGAGAAAGACAGAGAGAAAGGTCTTCCTTCCGTTGGTTCACTCCCCAAATGGCCGCTATGGCCTGTGCTGTGCTGATCCAAAGCCAGGAGCCAGGTGCTTCCTCCTGGTCTCCCATGCGGGTACAGGGGCCCAAGCACTTGGGCCATCCTCCACTGCCCTCCCAGGCCACAGCAGAGCTGGACTGAAAGAGGAGCAACTGGGACTAGAACCTGGTCCCCATATGGGATGCTGGCACTGCAGGTGGAGGATAAGCCAAGTGAGCCATGGCGCCAGACCCGTCACATTGTTACAGTACCAGAAAAAAATTAACAGCTGCTATGTAAAAATACAGAATTGATTTAAAAGAAATTATTCTTTACCTTATAGTAAGTACAAAAAGGACTTTTTTCTAAGTAGAGGTACTCTGTCCTAAAATTGTTAAATGTACAGCTATTATCTAAATTGATCATGTCAAGAATTCAAACCCCATTCCTTATTAAGCTGTTACCTTTCCTTAGGAGATTCACATGGCTTATCCCTAGATCCTTTTGCCTGGTTTTATCCCTTCTCTTGCTTCAGATAATATAAACCACATGAGATCTGGTCTAAGATGTCCCTGTCATATGTTCTCCTAGCATTCAGTGCACACAATCCCAATTAGCAGGCTCAAAGCAATTAGCACCTGGAAAGCTTTCTTGGAATTATATACCTAATCAGAACTCTAAAGCAGTCTTTTCAGTATAATCTTCAAAATTTGGTCAAGTAGGGACATGTTTTTGGCAGTAATTTTCTGCAACTTCCAACTATACAGGTATTTGTTAGTTTTTCCACCAAGTTCCAAACATCCCTTATAATGTCCAAACACTTCAACAAGGGTGGGCTTTTAGTGCAAGCAAATGTGGGCTTGGGATATGTACATCCCATACTGGATAGCCTGGGTTTGCAATAATTATTTCCTCTATATTACAGCACTTATAGATAACACTGTGTAACCTTCAAATTTTCATGGTAGACATTTTCTGTTTCAGAGTTTTATGTAATAAGATATATATATATATTTTTTTTTTGTAATAAGATATATATTAATTCAAAAGGTAAATAGGGCAGCGCTGTGGCGCAGCAGGTTAACACCCTGGCCTGAAGTGCCAGCATCCCATATGGGCACCGGTTCAAGTCCAGGCTGCTCCTCTTCCGATCCAACTCTCTGCTCTGGCCTGGGAAAGCAGTAGATGATGGCCCAAGTGCTTGGGCCCCCTGCGCCCACATGGTAGACCTGGAAGAAGCTCCTGACTCCTGGCTTCGGATCGGCGCAGCTCCGGCCGTTGCAGCCAACTGGGGAGTGAACCATCAGATGGAAGACCTCTCTCTCTCTCAGCCTCTTTTCTCTGTGTAACTCTTTGATTTTCAAATAAATAAATAAAATCTTTAAAAAAAAAAAAAAAGGTAAATCAAGGGGCAAGTGCTATGGCGTAGCGAGTAAAGCTGCCGCCTGCAATGCTGACATCCCATATGGGTGCTGGTTCAAGGCCTGGCTGCTCCACTTCCGATCCAGCTGTCTGCTGTGGCCTAGGAAAGCAATAAAAGATGGCCCAAGTGCTTGGGCCCCTGCACCCTCATGGGTGACTCTGAAGAAGCTCCTGGCTCCTGGCTTCAGATCAGCCTAGGTCTGGCCATTGTGCCATTTGGGGAGTGAACCAGTGGATAGAAGACCTCTCTCTCTGCCTCTGCATCTCTGTAATTCTGCCTTTTGAATAAATAAATAAATCTTTAAAAAAAAAAAAAAAGGTAAATCAAATAATGAACACAGGTGAAGCTGATGGGATCAGCTATTTTTCTACACTGTAGAACTCAGAGTTCCAAGGAAAAAATCATTTCTAATTCACTTTCATTTTATCTTTACAGTCAAAAGCGTTAAGTCTACCAGACTGTTTTTGTGCATTTACAAAAAAATAGAACTCACCAGATCACATCAGAAACACCATCTTAAAAAGAGATCGAATTACAAAATAGAGCTTATCCTTTGAAACAACTATGTATTTGCATATAAATTTCAAATGAAAATGAAATCTTAAAACTGTCTTACCTGGTAAAATCTGGTGGTACAGGAGTGGTAACAAATGATGCCATGGGTTTTCGATGAACTTGCTGAAACATCATTAAAATCTCTGAGCTCTTAGATATTAACTCACTCTTACTACAAGATCGCAACTGTATGAGGAAAAAGAATCATCTGAATAAACAAAATTGTTATTCATTGACACTTCAAAATTCTTAATAAAAAAGGAAATTAGAATTCTTATACACTGACAAAATGAGATAAAAATGATTCTTTCAAAGTGGTTTAAGAATTAATCTACAAAGAATCTAACAGTAAGGTCACTGAATAAACACACTTGATTTTAATCCATTTTTCTCTCATATTTCAGGATAAGTCAAGTTTTAAGCAATGACAAACACTTTTACACTGGTACAGTGAAGTTTTTATGTATATAAATGGACAAATCCTATACACTGAAGCCTTTAAAAGCATTTCTAAGATTGCATTCCACAAAACAAAAATGTGAAGACATAACATACATACATATCTTGTATCAACATGGAAAACACTATGTTTAAGTTATGCCAACAGCATAGGATAAGTGTGGTCAAACATGCATGACATTTAAAAGACTACTGATTTTAAATTCCGAAAAAAGTGGGTTTGAAGTCCCAGCTCCATCACTGACTGATTACATAGTTGTGAGTCTGCTGACATGTAGAGCTGAAATAAATGGTATCTAGGGGCCGCCATTGTGGCATAGGGGTTAAAGCTGCCGCCTGCAGTGCTGGCATCCCATATGGGCGCCAGTTTGAGTTCCGGCCACTCCACTTCTGGTCCAGCTCTCTGCTATGGCCTGGGAAAGCAGTAGAAAATGGCCCAAGTACTTGGGCTCCAGCACCCACGTGGGAAACCTGGAAGAAGCTCCTGGCTCCTGGCTTCTGATAGGCACAGCTCTGGCCACTGCAGCCATCTGAGTGAACCAGCAGATGGAAGACTTCTCTCTCTCGCTCGCTCACTCTCTCTCTCTCTGTAACTTTGCTTTTCCAATAAATCAATAAATCTTAAAAAGAAAAAAAAAACACCTATCCACCAGTGCTTGTTTCATACATACATACATACATACATAAAGCTGTATGTAAAACACCTCTGTAATCCATCTGTTGTAGGTTAAATTGTGCCTCTCCTCATCTCCAAATTTACTTGTTGCAGGCTCAACAACCCAGTACTTCAGAACACAACCATATTTGGAGATGGGGTGATTAGGGTAACATGAGGCAATTAATCAAATGAAACTACTGTCTTTTTAAGAAGAGACATCAAGACTGTGCATGAACACAAGAACGTCCACATGAAGACACAATCAGAAGGCAGCCATCTATACGGCAAGGAGACTTCAGAAGAAACCAAACCTTCCAATACCTTGATTTTGGGAAACAGATATTTGAAAAAACATGTCTGTTGTTGAAGCCTACCACTCAGTGATATTTTGTTATGGTAGCTCCCACGATAAACAGAATATGATATGTATCAAAGCTCAAAAACATAGCCTTTAGTTTACAAAAAGCAGCGACATCAAAACCAACAACATACATAAGAGGTTAGCAAAAACAAGCAGCTGTATATCATGTCATTTATATTATTATATGGCAAGCATCCCTCGGGACAGTAATGTTTTTTATTTAAAATTATTTAACAGTATTATAATATTTATATTTCCAATTATTTATATTTTATTTGAAATTTTAAAAATATCTTCCATTCACTGGTTATGCAATAATCAGGAGTGGACCAGACCAATGTAAGGAACCAGAACTCAACTTAGGTCTCCCATGTGGGTGGCAAGAACTCAACTACTTGAACCATTATCTGTTGCCTCAAAGAGTACACACAAGCAGGAAGCTGGATTGATAGTGAAGAAGCCAGGACTCCAACCATTCTGATGTGGGATGTGAACATTCCAAAGCAGAATCCTAACTGCTGGGCAAATGTCCACCCCATCTTTTTTTTAAAGATTGATTTATTTGAAAGGCAGAGATCCAAAGAAGGAAGACAGAGATCTTCCATCTGCTGGTTCACTCCCCAGATGGCTAAGTAGGCCAGGCTGAACTTGTTTCAGGTCTCCCACGTGGGTGCACTGTACTTGGGCCATCTTCTGCTTTTCTCAGGCACATCAGCAGGGTGCTGGACCAGAAGTGGAATAGGGGCCAGCACTGCGATGTAGCAGGTAAAGCCGCCTGCAGTGCCAGCATCCCAAATGGTCGCCAGTTTGTGCCCCGGCTGCTCCACTTCCGACGCAACTCTCTGCAATGGCCTGGGAAGGCAGTAGAAGATGGCCCAAGTCCTTGGGCCTCTGCACCTGTGTGGGAGACAATGAAGAGGCTCCTAGCTCCTGATCAGCCCAGCTCCAGCCTTGCAGCCATTTGGGGAGTGAACCAGCAGATAGAAGCGCGCGCTCTCTCTCCCTCCCTCCCTCCCTCTCTCTCTCTCTCTGCCTCTCTGTAACTATGCCTTTCAAATACATAAATCTTTAAAAAAAAAAAAAAAAAAAAAGGTGGAGCAGCCGGGACTCGAACCGGCACCCAAGGGAATAGCGGCACCGAAGGCAGAGGCCTTTCTACGCCACGGCACTATTCCTAATTTTAAGATTTTTTTTTATTAGTTATTTTTTTTAAAGATTTTTTTATTTATTTATTTGACAGGTAGAGTTACAAACAGTGAGAGAGACAGAGAGAAAGGTCTTCCTTCCGTTGGTTCACTCTCCAAATGGCTGCAACGGCTGGAGCTGTGCCGATCTGAAACCAGGAGCCAGGTGCTTTTTCCTGATCTCCCATGCGAGTGCAGGGGCCCAAGGACTTGGGCCATCTTTCACTGCTTTCCCAGGCCACAGCAGAGAGCTGGCCTGGAAGAGGAGCAACCGGGACTAGAACCGGTGTTCATATGGGATGCTGGCGCCGCAGGCGGGCACACAGCGCTGGCCCTGATATATTTCTTGAATCAATGATATATATATTTTTCCCAATTTATACATTTCATTAATATTTGATCACATACTGTATGTCTCCTTCCATTTTTTTCCAAAGACAATTCACTTATCACCACATCTTTCAATAATTACCATGTGTGTCTGTACATCCATAAACAATAATCTGAATGTTTTCAAACTTTACATAAACACTATCAGGCTGTATTATAATGTAACTTATATTTTTAACCCAACATATTTTCTTAATTTCTTAACTGGCTATCTTCTGCTACCCTCCCAGGCATGTTAGCAGGAAGCTGGACCAGAAGCAGAGCAAACTAGTGCTCTGATATGGGATGTCAGTGTCCCAAGTACAGCTTAAACCACTTCACCACTATCCCAGTCTCTCATTCAATATTCTAAGATTTAATTATTTTATATGTAGATCTACTTTAAAGTTTTAAAGAATATATTTTAATAATATAGAACAATGTATTGAAAGGCAGAGTTAGACAGAGAGGGAGATACACAGAGAAAGGTGTTCCATCCACTGGTTCATTCCCCAAATGGCCGCAATGGCTAGGTTAAAGCCAAAAGCTTCTTAAAGCTTCTTCTGAGTTTTCCACATGGGAGCAGGTTGTTTCCAAGGCCATTAGCAGGGAACTGATCAGAAGGGGAGCTGCCAGGACTTAAACTGACGCCCATATGGGATGCTGGCATCTCAAAGCAGCTCCTTTATCCACTATACTGGAGCCTCTCAATTTCTTTATGAATGGACACTGATGTTGCTTTCTGTTTTTTTGTTTGTTTTGTTTTGTTTTTAAGATTTATTTCTTTATTTGCAAGTCAGAGTTACACAGAGAGAGGAGCAGAGGCAGAGAGAGAGAGAGGTCTTCCATCCACTGGTTCACTCCTCCAGTTGACTGCAAGGGCCAGAGCTGAGCCGATCCATAGTCAGGAGCCAGGAGCTTCATCCGAGTCTTCCCACGCGGGTGCAGGGGCCCAAGGACCCAGGCCATCTTCCACTGCTTTCCCAAACCACAGCAGAGAGCTGGATTGGAAATGGAGCAGCCAGGACTCCAACCGGCACACATATGAGATGCCGGCACTGAAGGTGGCAGCTTTATATGCTTCGGCACAATGCCAGACCCAACTTTCTAGTCTTTAGTACTAAATATAACTGCTGTGAAGAACTCTGTGAACAGCTCCCTATGAGTATATTTAAGTTTCTCTGCGCCTGGAATAATTATTGAAGCATATTAACATATTTAGCAGTAATTAGCAAATGGCTCTCCAAATATTAATCAGGAGTAATTCCCATTGGTATATATCCTTGACAACATTTATATTTTCACTTATTTGTTCTTTTTTTTTTTTTAAAGATTTATTTATTTATTTGAAAGTCAGAGTTACAGAGAAAGTGGTATTCTATCCAATGGTTCACTACCCAACTGGCCACAACGGCCAGAGCTGCACCAATCCGAAGCCAGGAGCTTCTTCCGGGTCTCCCACGCGGGTGCAGGGGCCCAAGGACTCGGGTCACCTTCTACTGCTTTCCCAAGCCATAGCAGAGAGCTGGATTGGAAGTGGAGCAGCCGGGTCTTGAACTGGCACCCATATGGGATGCCGGCACTTCAGACCAGGGCGTTAACCCGCTGTACTACAGCACTGGCTCCATTCAGTTATTTATTCTTGCCAAACTAAGGAGATCAGATGGCATTTCCTATTCTCAGAGACACTCCACATTGGCCACACACGTAGGTATCTACTTCTCTAACTATGCGTAAACTTTCACTCACTTTTTCTGAGATTGTTTTAGCTCCTGAATTTGTACCTCTATTTTGGTACAAATTCTAAATACCAATTTATGTTCAATTTCAGGAATGACAAAAAACTGCTCCTAGTGCATGACTTGGCAATCTAATTTTTAAAAAGATTTATTTAGGGGCCGGTGCTGTGACGTAGTGGGTTCAGACACTGTCTGCAGTGCTGGTATCCCATATAGGCACCACTCTAGTCTGTGGCTCTACTTCCAATCCACCTCTCTGTCAATGTGCTTGGAAAAGTAATGGAGGATGGCCCAAGCACTTGGGTCCCTGGACCCACATGGGAGACCTGTAAGAAGCTCTTGGCTCCTGGCTTTGGCCTAGCCCAATCCTGGCTGTTTCAGCCATCTGGGGAGTAAATGCAAGATTCTCTCTCTCC